AGGGAGTGTTGGGGAGGTTGGCCTTTCCTTACAGGGGAGCCCAGAGACCTTGGGCAGGATGGGCGGGCGGGCGTCGAGTCCCCTGGACAAGCAGCAGCAGCAGCATCTGAGGGGTAAGCTGGGGGCTGGGGTGGGGACAGGGAGGGGTGAAGGTTGGGGTGGCAGGGAAGCCATCAGATCAGTCCCAGTGGCTGTCAGTGATCGTTGAACCCCCCAGTGGCCCCAAGTGCTCAGAGCAGAACTGCTCCATGGCACTTTCACGGCTGCGACCTTTCAGAAGCAGGTCACCAGGCCTTTCTTCCGAGGTGTCTCTGGATGGGTGAAGCAGTAGACCTTGTCGCTGACAGTCAAGGTAGCCATGTGCACCAGCCGGGCCCAGTGGGTGTGAGCACCGGGCCAGCACAGCATTGTGGGTGGTGGTAAGTATAGGTAGATCCCAAATATTAGGTGGGATATACTTAGGCTAAAATAGGTGCTTATTTCTCTGAAATTCACACCTAACTGGTTTCTGACATTGGCTGTTAACTCCGAGGGTCCTATTCAGGGCTCTGGGATGGGGCTGGGAGTGGTCCTGGGTGAGGTGGTCCCAGTCAGGCCCAAAAAGGGGTCCTCTAGAGGAGTAGAGGCAACAAGTCCCCTGTGCCACCTCCCCAGGGAGCCAGGCTCAGTTCTGGAGTTAAGACTAAAAGGGACTGGGAAGGTTTTAGCACCTGGTGGTCCCCTTCATGCCCCCTGCCCCCTACCCCCATCCCTGTGGCTTGAACAGCCCCTCTCCTGGGCTCGTGAGGAGTGCAGTGGGGTCGAGAGGTAGGAGATTCGGGAACAGCAAGTACAAAGAAGAGTCAGACTGCCTGTGTGCACCCTGGCCCTGGCCCCACGCTGTGTGACCCTGGGCAAGTAACTGTACCTCTCTGGGCCTCATTCTTTCACCTGCAGGAGAGTGCAACAATATCTACTTCATGGGGCCATTGTAAGAACACAAAGAGTTACTCCTAGTGTCAAGACTTTGTTTTGTTTTTAGTAGCTAACAACATACTGATTGTTAGTCTGGGTCGACTAGAGAAACAAATTCATAGACACTCATGTGTATAAGAAAGAGCTTTATGGGGCTCAAGTAGAAAGTAACTGTTTTGGGAATGATGAGGGAAACAAATGTAGGAGTGCTTGACACAATGGATGTATGTGTGGATTGTGATAAGAGTTGTACCTGCCCCCAAGAAAAGTATTTAATAAAAAAGAAAGCTTTATATACAAGAGAAATTGAATATAGAGAAAACATCCCAGCCCAATCCAGATCAAGTCCATAAGTCTGTATTAGCCCATATGTCAGATACCAATCTATAAATTCCTCTTCAGAGTCATGAAACACATGCAATGATGCTGAATGCAGGAAGATCACAGGTCAGTGGGTGGAAAGTCTTGTGGATCCAGTGGCAGTAGAGGCATCTCAGTGCTAGCAGGGGTCTCCACGTGGCTCCTTAAGCTCCAGGGAGCTAGCTTAGCTCCATGTGTCTTCTCCACAGGAATGTCTCGAAGGGAGTGAATGTGTGTCCCACCTCCAGTGAGCTATTTATCTCCTTAGTGCTGCCAAATGGGGTCATCAAGCTGCCACCTGATTGACAGGCTAAACTGCACCCTTTTACTCTTAAGTCTCAAATTGACCACAGATTCTGTCACTACCTCACTGATTGGGTTTCTCTCCCCTACAGAGAGGTGCAAAGGCAGGCAAGCCGGTCAAGTTGGGACCTGAGCACCCCCTATCTCCAGGCTCTGGCAGGCATGGCTCCTGGGCTTACAGTCACTTTGTGGTACATGATGGCTGCTATAGCTCCAGCCATCAGGTCCACATCCCAGGCAGCAGAACGGAAGCCATGTGTCATATGCAGTTCAGTGCACCTACCTAGAGAACTTGAAGACCAGGGTAATCAATCACCTCTTGAGAGGAGTCCTGGCGGGACAGTGGGTGGACATCATCGCCTGCCCTATAAGAGAAAGACGAAACTTTCCCACACCTGTAAAGATTGAAAACCTCAGCAACACCCCCACCCCACCCCCACCTGCCAGGAGCAATTCTACCCTGTCCTACAGGGTCTCTCTGAGGGGGTGGCAGTGAGTTTGGTTTTGGTGGACAAGGACACTTGGGGAAGGTGGGTCCCTTCATAGGAGCTCTGGTGCTGGCAGCTAACGAAGGTGGGATTGGGATCCACCAGCTGCCGGTGGGAGAAAGAGGAGGCGGCAGTCGGCTTACATACAGAATCCCCGCCCTGGAGCCCCTCGGGGCAGTTCCACTCTGTCCCTCGGGGTCCTTCGGAGTCGAAATCCACTCGTCGGCACCAGGGTCGGGCTTGTTCACGAGCTCCGTGTGGTGATGGTTTCGTGGTTGTGTGACTGCACCAATCACCGCGGGCGGGGGGGCATTTAACACCAATGACGTTTGTGGTGCATCAATGAGGGAGTCCCTGGGGGTGCGGGGGTGGGGGGTGGCTAAGCTCTTAGCTGCTGTGTGAGTCTAACCCAGAGGTACCTGTGAAAAAAGACCTGGTGTTCCACTTTTGACCAGTCAGCCTCTGAAAGCCCCGTGGGGCACTTCTATGTGGGACACTGGGGTGGCCATGAACCCACCCGATGATCACTGCCCCGCCCACCGCGGGGAGGAAAAGGGTGCGGAGGTTCTGGGTAAATAGTATTCGGGATGTCTCCTTTGGCAGTTTGTGGGCACTGCAGGTAGTAGGAACCCAAGGAGGCTTCCATGATCCTGTCCTGCCCTCCCCCACAGGCCTGCAGGCCCAGCTGGCAGCCTCTCCATGCCCCCGCCCCACTGTTGCCCTGTCCCCTCAGATCAGGTGGACGTTCTGCTGAGAAACTTCCTGCCTTGCTATCGCAGGCAGCTGGCAGCCTCCGTCCTGCAGCAGATCTCCCGAGAACTGGGCCCTCTGGAGCCCGCTGGGTGCCAGCTGTTGCGCAGTAAGGTGGGTGGGGCCTGGGGGGTGGGTACACTGGGCAGGGGTGGGGCGGGGCCAAGTGTGGGCAGGGCCAAGTGTGCGCGGGGGGGCCGTGTTCTGAGCAGTGTTAAGGGAAGCCACACGCGCCAGGCTTTCCTCCGGCCACACGTCAACCTCCAGCCTTTTGCCCTCGCTGGCACGGGAGGTGGTGTGAACACATTCATTCATTCTTTATTTTTGGGGCTATCCATCATGTTCATCCTGCGTCCGGCTGCCGATTCCCTTTCCTAGAGAATGGATGATACAATGTTTATCTTCTGTGTCTGGCTTCTGGCACTGGCGAAGCCCTGGTGACCGGTGTGGGGGTTTACTACCTGCAAGATCAGCAATTCGAGTTTGCCGGCCCCTCGCAAGAGATAGATGAGGCTTTCAGTTGGACCAATGGGTAACATCATGATACGCAGAGAAATGGAGGAAAGATGGAAGTTGTCAGGGATTCCGCCTTGCTCAGATCCGCAGTCATGCTCATGGCAGCAGCAGTCAGGAGGGCAAAGGGTGCGCTGCATTGGGTAAATCTGCTACACCTGATCTCTTGACAAGTTACTTTGAGGACTAACGTGTGCCTGACCCAAACCCTGGTCTTTTCAATCACGTCCTATGCATGTGGAAGTTGGACACTGAATAAGGAAGCCCGGAGAAGAATGGGTGCATTTGCAATAGGGTGCCAGCGAGGAAGACGGAAAGTCCCACAGACTGCCCCAAGAAGAAACAAATCTGTTTGTAGAGTCAGGAGGCTCCTCAGAAGCAAAGATGGCAGACTTTGTCTCAGAGACTTTGAACATGTTCCCAGGAGAGCTCAGTCCCTGGAAAAGAACGTCGTGCTTGGTAAAGTAGACTCAGCGAAGGAGAGGAAGGCTCTCAGGTCGGTGGCTGCAACAATGAGCTCAAGTATAAGAACACTTGTGAGGCTGGCGCAGGACCTGCAGCGTTTCATTCTGTTGTACAGAGGGTCGCTGTGTGGCAAACAACCAAAAGAGGGATGGCCTTGGAAAGCCACAAGGACAGTTCTCCTCTGCTACAGGGTCCCTGTGGGAGTGAGCTTGCTGAGGGCCATCAGGCTGGAGCAGGGGTCAGTGTGATGGGTGGGTGGGGGCACCTGGGCTGGTGGTTCTGAGTTAAAGCGTAGAACATGGTGGCAGTTCCCTCTTGGGGCCGAGCTCAGCTCTGCTCCCTGCAGGCATGGGCCAGTGCCCGTGCCTGGCTTGCCATTTCCCAGTCGGGCTCTGGGGTCTCAGGCTGGGAGGCCTCCTCTGTAGTAGGGCGCACCCTGCGCTCCATCTCTCGCATGTTGTGTGTATATTGACTCACCCAAGTTCACTGCCAGTGGGTCCATTCTGACCCTATAGGACAGGATAGAATTGCCCTTGTGGGTTTCTGGGAATGTAACTCTTTACAGGAGTAGAAAGCCTCATCTTCCTCCCACAGAGTGGCTGGTGGTTTCGAACTGCTGAACTTGCAGTTAGCAACCCAAATATGTAACCTTTAGGCCACTGGGGCTCCCTAGGGCAGGCTAGAAGGGGCTTGAGAAGCAAGGAATCACAGGACACAGCCGCCCATTAGTTGGCCCAGGTGGTCAGGAATCTAGGTGGTCCGCCTCTTGGACTCCTGCCCATCCCTCCTGACAGAAGCTGCCCCGTGTTAGAGAGCACCGAGGCCCCTTGACGCAGCTACGGGGCCGCCCGCCCCGGTGGCAGCGGAGCTTCTGCGTCCTGCGTGGGGACGGCCGCCTGGAGTGGTTCAGCGGGCACGAGGTGAGAGGAGGGCCCTGGTGTGCCAGCCTAGCGGGCCTTTTCCATGCCCCAGTGACCCTTTTTCCATCATCTAATGAATTCACCACCCCGCCCCTATCCAGGGTGCTGGGCCCGACCATCTTACACTCTTGACCTTGGGGGCCTGGTGGGTAAACTGAGACCTGATGGGAAGGGCAAGGACCCACGCAAGCCACTGATGAGAGCGCCAGGAGGCCTTTGTTCTGCACGGCGGTGCCCGCTCCCAGCTGGGGGGCTCCATCGGGCGCCGCCTCCCTGGCTCACCTGTGCCCTCTGTGGAATGGGATGGGTTATGTCACGTGGGACGTCAGGGATTCGAAGAGATCCACTCACACATGGGATCGGTCACGGGGTGAGGGTGGTGATTCTAGAGACCTGGGGATTGGGAGGAGAGAGCGGCTTCTCAGTCCTCCCAAAGCCTCCCCTCCGGTCTGAAGTTAGGGGGTGGGCGCCTAGGCCGGACTCATCCTAAACCTGTTCTTTGAATGCCCTTTGTAGGAATATGAAAATGGGGGGCAGCCCCTTGGCTCCACGGCCCTGACGGGGTACACAATTCTGACCTCACCGCTCGAGTACCTCCGCCTGTTGGACA